CTCTTGATCTCACCATCTCTCTTTTCCTGTCCATTGATTTCTTGCTTTTTCCCTATATCCGTGTTCAAGCCTCCTAGATAGTTTCAAGCCACCTTTCTTCTTTTGCCAAGAACACATCTATTTTAATCACATTTCTTTGCTCCTTTACACTTTACCTTAACCTTTACTGAAACTATACAGTATCAAATAAAATGAACAATGAATTTATCTTTTATATTCTCAATTTTTTAGTCTGGAATTTTTAAACACAAACAAAAGTTGAAAGCATAACACAATGAATATCTGTATACATTCCAACTAGATTCAACAGTTATTAGTATTTGAACAATTTTTATTAAGGCATAAATAACATATAGGTAAATCCTCCTATCTTAAGTAAACTCTTCAATTAGTTTTGAAAAATGCTTATCAAGATACAGAACATTTTCATCACTCCAGAAAATTCCCTCCCGCCCCTTCCCAGTCAAACCTCCCACCAGAAATAACCAATGATCTGATTTCTAATACTGTAGAGAGAATTTTAAAATGAGAGAAACTTATTTTAAAATGCTATTATAGCCTCAATGCCAAAACCAAACAAAAATTAATTTTCCTATCTAACTTATAAGCAGATTTTATGGCAGTAATGCAAGGATGGTTTCACACTAGCATATATGTTAAAGAAATTGGTAATTTGATACAACTCAACAACTAAGAACAACCAAAAAATCTAGATTTAGAAAATCAGAAGCAAGTGCCAAATGTAAGGAGTTAACCAGTCAAAATCTTAGAAGGCAGTATTCTAGGCAGTTAAACTGAACATTTATCCTGAGACATTTGACAATCCAAAAGTAAAATCTATAAACTGAGCTATGACTTTTGCAGGATCGCTGGGCAAGAGAGACATAAATTTAAATCTAGTGCCACAGAAGAAGCAAAGTCCAATAAACACCCCCCATATTTAATACAAGATCCCATAGGGTAAAGATAAACCAGAAATAAATCAGCACTTCCACAAATTGCATTCAGGTTTTATAGCATCAGGAAATCTCACTCCTTGAATAATGAATAAACAGATCTTAGAGTGGTACTCCACAGACACTGGGCAGAATCAAACAAAAATTCTCTCCAGATGAAGACATCATTAGCCCAAACCTCAAATTAACCTATATAAAATTTTACAAATTAAATGACCAAACATAATCAAAAATCAGAAAAAGACTGCAATAAAAGCAAGCTTACACAAATAAGTAAATAAACAAACCTTGAAAAAGCAATCTAATAGAAACTCTAGAATTGAGATGTTTAAGAACTCAATGGATAAGTTTATAGGTATATATGTATATTACACATGGTTAAAGAGAGAATTAATAACAAGAACATGTTAGAAGACTATTTAGAATGAAGCTCAGAGAAACAAAAAGATGGAAAATGCGTAAGAAAATATTAGAGACATAGATTTGAGACAGAAGATAATGCCGGAAAAGTCTAACAAATGTTTAATTGGAGTCCTCAAAGAACAAAAAATCAAAATGAGGCAGTAGCAATGTGTGACGAGATAAAATTTGAGATTTTTCAGACTGATAAAAAATATCACTATAGGTAAAGGGTTAACAAAACCTTTTCCTTTCTACATAAGAACTTGACCTTCAGTTAATTTTCTAGCTCTGTTCACCTGGAAACATGATAGAGGTTTATGATAAAAATGACCTCTGATTAGTAAATTGCCTCTGGACCAGGAGGAACTATAAATGGTTTACATTTATAGACCTGATGGGGATACCATACTTGGGACTTTTCTGAGTGAGTTACATTCACCAGTAAAATATAGCAATTTTAAATCTGTATGCACCTAATGACATGCACTTAATGTATCTTACAGAACTACAGTGAGAAAATCCACAAGTATAGTGAAGCATTTTACCATACCTAACTCAGTAACTGATACAAAAAACAAACAGAAAATCATTAAAGATATAGATTTTTGGAACAGAATAATTAACAAATTTGACCCAGTGATTACAAATAATGTGCAGAAAATGCATTATTTTAAGTGCACATGGAATATTTACCAAAATTGAGCATAATAGAGTAAGCCTCAACAATCTAAAAAATTGTGATAAAATATACACAACATAAAGTTTACCAACTTAACCACTTTTAAGTGTACGATACAGTGCCATTAAGTATAGTCACGTTACTGTACAGCCATCACCACCATCCATCTCCTGAATTCTTTTCATCTTGCAAAACTGAAACTCCATACTCATTAAACAATAACTGCCTATTCTTTTCTTCCCCCTGGACCCTGGCAATCACCATTCTGCTTTCTTCATGACTTTAGGTACCTGATATAAATGGAATTATACAGTATGTGTCTTTTTGTGACAGGCTTATTTCCCTTAGCATGATGTCTTCAAAGTTCATCCATGATGTAGCATATGACAAAAAATTTTCTTCCTTTTTAAGGCTGAATAATATTCCATTGTATGTATTTACCGTATTTTGTTTATCCATTTATCTGTCCATGGACAGTTAGGTTGTGTCTTAATCAGGCTGGGGTACTAAAACAAAATACCACAGAATGTGTGACTTAAATAGCTAACATTTCTCACAGTTCTGGAGGCTCAGAAATCTAAGATCAAGGTGCCAGCCTTTAGTGTCTGATGAGCATCCACTTCCGGGTTTACAGATGACCACCTTCTTACTATATCCTTACATGATGGGGAGAGAGAGCTCTGGTTTCTTGATCTTCTTATAAGGGCATTAAGCCAATCCTAGGGCCTCCACCCGCATGACCTCAGCTAAACCTAATTACTGCCCAGAGGCCCCACCTCCAAATATCATCGCATTGGGGATTGAAGCATCAGCATATGGATTTTTGAGGGACACAGACATTCAGTCAATAGCAGGTTGCTTCCACCTTTTGATTATTGTGACTAATGTGAACAAATATCTCTCCTAGATTCTGCTTTCAATTCTTTTGGGTATATACCAAGAAGCGGAATTATTCGATCATATGGTAATTCTATTTTTATTTTTTGAGGAATTGCCATACTGTTTTCCAAAGCAGCTGTGCCATTTTACATTCCCACCAGCAGTGTGCAAGGGTTCCAGCTTCTCCACACCCTCATCAACACTTGTTATTTTCTGGATTTTAGTAGTAGCCATCATAATAGGCATCAGATGATATCTCCTTGTGGTTTTGATTTGCATTTCCCTAATGGTTAGTGATGTTGAACATCTTTTCATGTGCTTTTTGGCCTTCAGAATAACTTCTTTGGAGAAATGTCTATTCAGTCCTTTACTCATTTTTACATCAGGTCGTTTGTTTTTTTTGTTTGTTTTCAAATTTCAACAAATTTTAAAGGATGGGAAGCTGCTACAAGTCTATTTTCATTTGCTCTCTATGACAAAGATGGTCTTGAAACAGTGTTTTATCATCTCTCAGGT